GAAGATTACTCTCGAAAAAAGGATTTTATTCTTCAAAATGTTCAAGTAAACATTCCACAAAGACACCGACATCAAAAAAGCAATGCAAAATCACGCACTAATTTAAAACAATTTTATTTTTGTAAAAACGGAACACCAATTAGAGTATGCCAAACTTTTTTTTTAAAACCCTGTCAATAAGCAACGGACCGCTAAATATAGCATTTGAAAACCGAAATGCTACATTAGGATTGTATACTGGAGGTGACAAACGAGGCAGACACATCCCAGCTAATAAAATTTCAGAGGAGGATAAACAAATTATTGTAAATCATATTGAGAGTTTCCCGTTAACCGACTCACATTACTGTAGAAAAGAGTCTCAGAGAAAATTTTGACTACCTACAAAAGAATATTTGGAAACAATTACAATTATTCGTTCTTTAAACCACGCAAGGATCAGTGTTCCCTTTATATGCAATATAAAGCTGCATGTGGTGAAGAAAAGGCTAAGCTCGAACCAAAATACCATGGACATAAACGGCGTGAAACGGCGGGATAAGTCACATTTCATTACAGTAACACTTGATCTCCAAAGCATACTGCAAATACCAAGCAGTGACGTATAACCAATGTATTATCAAAGTATTATAGTAGGAAATTCTGCGGTTATAATCTGACAATTTATAAAGGTGCTCCACCGAATAATGCATACTTTTACCTTTGGACTGAAATGAATGGAGCAAGAGGTAGCTTAGAAATTGCAACATGCTTATTTCAGTATCTAAATGCCTTGTTTAATTACGTTACGGAGGTCTCCTTGTTTTCCGACACCTGCGGTGGACAAAATCGGAATCAAAATGTACTGGGGATGCTCTATTATTTTGTTCATTACGGAAACAGTGACATTACCACCCTACAGCACAAATTTCTTGAGTCTGGACACTCCATGATGGAGTATGACAGTATGCATAGTGCGATTGAAAGGCAGAAAAAATATGTGGCTGTTTATACAATGAATGATTGGCTAAACATTTTTAAGTTGGCTCGATCAAAAAGACGAAAAAAAAAATGATAAGTATGTCGTTAAGGAACTAAAATTTTGTGATTGTCTTGATTTCAAAAGACTTTCGCAAGCTGTTTTAAGAAATAGAACAGTTAATATCCAAGGCGAAAAAGTTAGATGATTAGAAGTCAAATGTTTTCGGATTGAAAAAAATAACCCAGGCATAGTCAAATATAGGTATGACCATTCCGGCAAATATCTGTGCATTAATATCAGCGGACGTGGCAGACCTATCTCAGGACAACCCACGCTAAATAGCGCATACTCTACGAATCTTCCAATTTCTCAACAAAAATATAACGACTTAAAGAACTTGTGTGTTAATAATGTCATTCCCTCCGAATTTCACCATTGGTATTTGTCGTTACCAACATCACAATCTGCTGACAATCGGAATCCTGAACCAAGCATAAACAGTGAGAGTGAGTCGGATTCAGAAAAATAATTGTTTTTTTGTTTTATCCGTTTTTTCTTTGAGAATCAATGTTAATAAGTGCTTAACAGAAGATTGACATTTTTGTTATTTTTAGATCTTGATATGAAATAAAGTCACCTTATTTATATTAATTAATTTTTGATTATTTCGCTTTTTTTGTCAGGCAAAGGTAACTAAGTCCGTCAAACCCGTTTGGATGGAGATAGACAATATTTTTAGTATTATAAATATCGCTATCCCAAACATAACCATCAGTTAGATATAATTAACCAAACGAAATTATGACAACAAATTTCAGTTAAAATTGTGTTTATCTCACAACTAATAATTTGGACTTAATGATATTTGCCGGAACGTCGACGATATGGACTGTATGATATATTTTTCTTATTCTCTTCTTCAAATGGCGACGATGACGATGATGTTCAATGGGAGACACAGATCCACAGATGAAATACAGGACAAAGATAATTGTAATAATAAAAAAATTACGACCGAAAATTTTCATTTGAGTAAAATAAATGAGAACCTATATCAGATCATAACTGTTTCAATTTAGATCCATATAAATTCGGAATATATCAACAAACAAAACGTTCCCATAAGATAAATATTTCGATTTTATACCTAAAGGCCCTCGATTATCGTTTATGGTATTTTTAAACAGATACCGTAAGTGTTTATAATGATATTAACCTTGACGAACACTCAACTCATCATTTAAAGTCATTAAAGTCGTAAGTGCTTCTGCTGTAAACAAAATATTTATCGGTATCGCAAGTGACTATTATAAATGTTTATCACTTCAAACTTCCTGACTATACAAATAAATCAACATGGTCAAATCATAATCAATTAAAACAAAAAAAAATTATAAGGAACTAAGATCAGAATATAATACAGGGTGTACAAAAAAGCTTTTTTGAGTCCCTATCCCTACCTGTTTAATATTAATATTGTTCTGAATCTATTTTCTTGTGGCATTGTAAATTAATTACTATTAAACTGGGAATAAGCCACAATTAAAGATAAAAATACGTTTATTGACGTTTCAATTTCCACTTCGGAAATCGTTCTCAAAATACAAACAGTAATACTGTTCTACTAAATGTTCTTAATTACTATTTATTGAGATTTCTTAGTAGCTGATCGAAAGTTCGTAAGAATACATATTGAATGTTCTTTAAATTGAATGCAAAATTCAGTAGTTACTCTCAACTACAGGTGAAGAGATGGATGACTTTAGATTCGTCCAGATAATTGAAGATACTATGATTACTTACAGGGAATCTTGATGACTGCTGCACCAATTCACTGAAGCTAATTTATATACTTTAATACTTTACTTGTATCCAACACTGAAGTTAGTTAACATTAAAGGTAATTTATAACTATATTTACTCTAATATAATATAAGATCAAAAAACTCAAATATACGGTATAGCCACTACTCCTCCGTACTGAGGAGACCTAAAGAGGTCGAAATACGTATATGCGGCTTGTGGCTGCTCTGTATCGAATCAAAATCTAATATCGTCATTGTGTTTTATTTCTTTATTTCGTTTGGAGTACCAGAAATCGAATTCACTACGAATATTGGCCATGATGAACGGCATTTGGAATGCAATTTTAGATTCCCTTGCCGATTTATTCATCAAGCTGTTTGCTTCGCAAGTTTTAGGAAGCACGGTGGCTGATATTTGAATTCGATTTCACTAGGTAGAACTCGTATGATTTCTCTTTTTGTTATTTTTTGTTGTTAATTTTTTTGGTTGTAAACAGTTATTTAATAGAACCGTTGAAAAAATTGCATAAAGTTGTCATTTGCAACACTTATACTAAATTATATTTTATTATACCAGTCGTTCAATATTTCAATAAATATATTAAATATATAAATAAAATTACAATATAAGCTATGAAAAATACTGCCAGGTACCAAATACCTTAAAAAAGGGAACAATATTATAATGTTCCATAAAATCTAATACGGTACCTACGGCCGGAGATTCATAAGCAGTACCGATCGCTTATGAATCGCTATATGGAATATAAAAGATATTCCAATTGACCGGGACCTTTTCCAATGGAACTCGTTGAGCCCACTTAGGTTCTGTATATTGATGAACCCACTATTTTAGCTCTTGAACTCCATTGACTCAAGATTTAGCATCAAAAATAACAATACTATTGTGGATAAGTTTAATCATTTGTTGTATATGGATGATTTGAAATCAATGGCTTCTACTCGAAACCACCCAGATCAGACGCTAAAAACTGTAGGGGCTTTATCGGTACTGATTATAACGAAGGTTATGACTCAGTAGGAAAGATTATCCACCGAGAACTAGATAACAAACTGGGACTTCTGCAAACCGACTATCTTCCATATTATCAATGCGCCCCTGACAGAATACTTGAAAATCACAACTATAACCTATACTGGGACTGACTGCACTGTGCTTACAGACCAACCAGTGGCACATAATACAACCGGATCTCATGCTAGTTAATAAACTTACTAGGCAAACAATATTTATTGATGTGGCAATACCTCTCTTCAATAATTTGCGTGTTAAATACAGCGAAAAGATCGCCAAGTACAGAGATCTAGAAATACAAATCAGGAGACAATGGAGAACGGAAAGGCAGTACCTATTATTCTATCTACTACTGTTGTTATTCCCAAAAACCTCCTAGAGAACATAAAATTACTGCTCAAATCACTTAGCTCAGATGCTAAAAACTGTAGAAACATTCTCTAATTATATTAGTATGCACTTCGGGCTAGACAAGCGCCGTGTTTGGAATATAGTGAGGAAAAAGGTTCAGTCCAGAAACAATCTGCGTGTTAAATACAACGAAAAGACTACAAAGAACAGAGATCTGGAAATTTAAATACGAAGACAATGGAGAATGGAAAGTACTCAGACAATACCTATTATTCTTTCTACTACTGGAGTAATTCCGAAAAAACTCCTAGAAAAAATAGAAAAGCTGGGTCTGAATGAAAATCTGTATAAGACCATGTAGAAGGCTGTCCTACTCTCAACGTCCAGATGTGTACGAAAAATTTTGGAAGATATTCTGGTGTATGAAGTGGCTCTATAACACGGAAAGAGTCCCACCAAAGCCAAATCCTTTTGATCCTGTAGCTATCTGGGATGAGTGAATTTGACCAAATTATGGTCAGAAAATACAGGCGTTCAACAAAAATGCTTTGTAAAATAAAACTTCGAATTCTAGAGATATTTATTATACGATTTGTAGTCTTTTAAATTACAGCGCCAACATCACTGGGGCCTCGATAGTTTTGGTATACCATCCATTTACTCTTAGGTTAGCTTCGTATAATTGACATTCATTCATCAGGTAGGTAGGGGGAGATTATAGGTATTATTATAAATAAAACGTTTTTATGTTTAAAGTTTATGTAAAATTGAAATCAAGAAAGATATTAGTTTAGTGCCATTCGCGTTTAATTTATGAGTAAAGAATACTAAAATAATATATACTTACAGGCCATAAAAGTTCCCAGTAAATGACATCACTGTTTGAATTCTCTAAAGGATCAGACTCTGCATGTTCAAGAATGACTGCACTTGTGTCCCACTTCCTCCTATAGTCAATATCGACTTGAACGTTCAAAAAATCCTCGGCTGACACATCATTGTAAGACCCATACACTTTATATTCGTATTGACCTGATCCAGAATGATGAAGTCTTCTCCAAATTACCAGATCCGGTTTTTCGATAAATAACACCCAATCATCATAGGTTTTTGGGATTTGAGTGTGTCCGCATTCGCATATATGTGAGGTGGTGCTGTTCGGTGTTTTCGTTGTGTCGCAAGCTAGGCAAATAGTGCTCTCTTTTAAAATTTTTACATACTCAAATTCTTGTTCGTTTTTTCGAATTTCTTCATCTTGGATCCTATATTTGTCCCAGTTATATGCCGATATACCTAGAAATATGTTTGCTTTACTTAATTTTTTTTATTCGATTTTTTTATGACAGTATAACATGTTCAAGAATAGTCACAAAAACTGTGTACAACAAAATTTTCGAAAGGTAAATTGCAATCATCTTTTTGTATTTTGAAGCATTTATGAATTGATTTAAGTATCTTACTAATATACACACCCTTCCCAGTTTATGCATGTAAATATTGAGTAAATACCATAGAAAAATTGACCAGCAAATGGTAAGTAAGTGAAAGGTTTTTTATTAATAAATTTACAATGTAAGTGTGTATAAATTTTTTTTATCCATTTTACAATATCTTTCCAATCAAAAATGTTTATCAAATTATAAAAATAATAGAATTATAAAATATCATATGGAGGAATTTGAGAAATAGTCTGTTAAATCCTGTAGATGAGAAGGAGAAGCTGATTATTTTATAATTCAATTAGCCATTCAGGACAGATGTACACGAATAGTAGCAGAACATAAAGATTTTTGGTTATTGCAACGATTTTTTTTTCTCTTACATTGGAACTAAATCTTTTTATAAATCTCTTCTTACTCATCTTTTCCCTTTTCAGGAGTTACTATTCCTTACTCTTCTTCACACCTCAAGTACTTTCATCCACACAATTCTTTCACCTTCTCCTCGGTTTTCCTTTACCCCTCTTTCCCTCAACCTCTAACAGCTCTATCCACCATCCCACGTAGTTCTCATATTGACATCTGACATGACCAAACCATTGTAGTCTTTATTCTTGAAACTTTTTTCGGCAGTGTAGTCTCTTTAGGTATTTACCTAGTCATGGCGTTCCTGATCTCATCTCTTCCAGTCTTACTCAACATCCAAGTTATATTTTCATTTAAGCTACCTTCATCTTCTTTTCCTGAACCCTCTTGATAGTCACAAGGTATACAAGGTGTCCCCGAAAATAGTAAGTTTCTTTAAGGTATGGTTATAATAGAGAATTTAGAACGAAAAAGTGATATAACATTTTTTTCTAAAATTAACTATTTAAAAAAATTGAATTGTTTTCTATATAGGTGAATTATTATTTTCAGAAAATTAAATATTCTGGCAACATAGTACGCCGTGAAAGAACTTCTGAATAATAACTCATTTGTGACTTAGGGTATTTAACATAATCCAACCCTTATTTATTTAAATTCATTTCAAGGTTGTTAACATATTAGGAGCTGTAGGTACCCAATACTTGCCAAATAATTATTTCTTGCTTTAATAATGTGGCATTTACTAGTATTTGAATTAATTAAAGTTTTGGATTAAAGCTTGAAGTTTTAAATAAATTATTATTTTTAGTTAAGTAAGTACTATGGTTTAATTCCTTAAAAGTAATTAATGCAACTCAGAAAAATTATTTGTAATGTTTTTCTGAAATGTATTGAAATATGGCACAATTTTAAACGATTTGTTAAAATGTCAATTATTTACAATAAAAAACAATTTATCTTTTAACTGAACAAGTATTATGTAAGCTGTATAACAGGCAGTATACTGAGGCAGTACATGTAACAGATGACCGCGACCAGTGGAGAAGTTTCATTGATCAAAGTATCTGAGCTGCTGAAGCTCAATGATGAACGACAACACATTTCTTCTTCTTCTTCTTGTAATTCCTTCTCATATAGGAGGTTGGCTATCATCACAGCTATCCGTATCTTATTGGCAGATTTTCTGAAAAGATCTACTGAGCTGCAACTATACCACTCTCTTAGATTTATTAGACAGGAAATTCTTTGTCTCTCTATGAAACTTTACCCTTGATTTTACCTTGCATTATGAGCCTTAATAACTCATATTTCGCAGCTCTGGTAATGTGGCAGACAAAGACAGACAAGTGTAAGAGAGACAAACTTACTATGAGGAAAAATGCAAAGAGATAGAAATATGACCTATTCAACATACATAAAAAGGTTAAAGAATCTTTTTTGTAGCTACCATGCACTACCATTGCCACCCATATGTTGCAGGATCTCAAACGAGGAACCTTTAGGACATGTGGCCATTAGTGAATCTTTTTTTCTTCAGTTCATTTATAGTGGACTATACAGATATGTTATCTTGTATTCTTGTCAAGGCATCATTAACTGCATTACAATTTTTATGTTCTTTATGTTTGGTCATCTAAATGACTCAACACATTTTTATAAAAATCAACTGCAACAAAGTCATTTTTACACTTCATTTTAATTAAAAAAAAAAAACACACACACACACACAAATCAAACTTCTGTATGCTCCTGGGAACTTAGAAAACTAAAAGAATAGCCACAGTAACTGCCAATTATTTATAAATTTCGTTTGAGGGCCTCTACAAGTATGTACTTCACATGTGTATGAATAATTGTAATCCCTTTGATACCGCTAATTTTGAGCGACAACAGATGAAAAACCAACAAGTAATAAGTAATTGTATGAGTAACCCACTCACACGATATTTCAAGTATACACAAGTGACGATTATTTGCTAAGTACATGTGTCATTTGAATCCTGCTTTTGGGAAAAGAGATGTATCTATTCTAACTTAACCTAACACTAGCAACATCTCTCTTTTGTGAGCAGTGAGTACTACATACACAGGAAAATGTTGCAGGTGACTATATAAAGAAAGTGAATGTATAAAATGACTTACCTACTGTACCTAGAGCAAAATCCTTAGTTCTTTTTGCAATATTTTGTCTCATTTTCTTTATCAATTCTTCGAAAGCCTTTTTTTCCCACCACTTTGAATATAACGTAAACATTTGTTGGCACCTTCGCATTCTTTGAGCCAGAACACACTCGCAGTGATGCACCCAGACTTTAAAAACATCCCTTCTGTTACTCCTAGCTGCATTATTTTCTAAAAATATTTTATAAAATTGTCTTGTTTTAATAATATCCTGGAATCGTCTGTTAATATCCTGCAGATTTTTGAACTTTTGGCGAAATGTGCAGTCGTATTTTAAAAACTGTTTTTGAATTATTGTCTTGAACACATTTTTGAGGTTAGGATTAAGTGGTAATATAGATTGGGTGGGACCTCTTGGATACATAACTTTAACACTTAATTACGCAATCTTCTTCGGTTCAATAAATAATGAATGAATACAAAAAGAGTAGGTATGTTTTAGAAATTGTAATATGATAATACGGAAATTTTGACAGGCATGTTACATGAAAAAGTGTTCTTGACCTGACCTATGTTTATATTTGTTTTTAATTATGAATTGAAAACTGTCACTTTAAGCCTTAAAGGGCTATAAAATACGATACCGACTTATACTTAGTTTCAAAAGAATTTTTTGTGTGGGTATATGTAAAATTAATTATTAGAGGCACTGGATTTTATAAAGCAGATACACATTGATTAAAACGGTGATTATTTTATTGTTTGTATGTCTTGTAGTTTCCACTGCTTATTTACACTGTGTAGCTGTGTAATTTTGTTTTTCGGAACTATCAAAAAATTCGAAAATAATTTTAAAAAAATCTATTTTTGCGCTGTTCAAATTTTTGACCTTTATTCACACTTATCAGTATCACATGTGTTAAATTGCCATATGAAATTAAATGGGAATTAACGTTTTTATCTTGCTCTATTGCTTGTATTAAAGTGAAATAGCGATTGCGTGGTAACATTATCTGATTCCAATTCGAATGATGAACTGCACAGGGTCGTACTAGCTTTATACTTATGGTTTTCGGTATTTTTCCATCAAAATTAACAGACAAAGAATTAATTTCCATCAGAATTAACAAAAGTTCTAACAAAAATCGACAAATATAATTAAAGCTCATTTTACAACTAAGGGGTTTTTATACTCACACGGTTTTAATCGTCTTAAATCTAGTTTGGGTGATATTGCAAGATCTCTTTTAAATTCTACTTTGAGTGCATTCTATCGAGGGTCTGCAAAAATTTTGGAAAATTATTTATTTTGTTTTACGACGTCGACGCTCTTGACAAATTGTTAAATTAAACATCTTAAATTTCCTATGTTGTTAAAGCAGTAACACTATCTGCAATCTAGTCCTAGTCTTATTTCGATTTTACGCCCCATTCTGAACTGAAGTAGTCTATTGTATTTTATTTTTGTTTGTATATCTAGTCATCTTTCCTCAGGAGGCTTCACAATTTTATCTTGTGTGCATTTTTCAATCTATGGTGTTTTCAAACCGTCACTGTTGTTCCATTAAACTTAGGTACATTAAAGATGTACTTGATAATATTGTTATCTTTCTTTCTAGGTCGATTCAAACACATCAGTCACGTCTTGTCACAGTTCCGGAGCCGAAACGAACAATCCGTCATACAAAATATTCTTAAGGTCGATTCACACACATCAGTCACGTCTCGTCACAGTGATTGCGCCGAACCGAACAATCCGTCATACAAAATATTCTTTAATACAAATATGTTGCCGGCATTCACACTCATCAGTTGACAAACAGTTTCCCAGCTGTCAGATAGTTGATAGTTCTGTGACCAAATAGGACCGGTTCGGCGCCGAGACTATGACGGGACTGATGTGTCTGAATTGACCTTTATAGAAATGCCGCTTCCCAGCAGTCAGGTTTCGACACGTCTGTCGCCCGGCCGATTTTATAATCTCAGCGACGAATTTTTTGGTTTTGTCGGGAACATGACGGGCGGTACAAAAGGCGGAAGTGAACAAAATAAAATTAGTGACTAACAATTAATATGTTTAAAGATTTAAATGTTTAAGAAAATATAATGTTTTATATGATTTGTCGCATGCAAAATACATGGAGATTAATTTTAAAAATTGGGCAGGGAAGCAAGTTTTCGACATCCTAAAATATTGATGAAATTTTACACCATCACGAAGCAGTTCTTTATACATTGTCATGTATTCTTCTTCGGTACGTCTTTTACGTCTTTTTGCTTGGTTTGCTTGCGCTTCTTCTTCCTCGTCCAAAAATATAGCAATTATTGCTAATTCTTCATACGAGAAACTTTCCATCTTTTCAACAGATTGGTCGCCGAAGACTGATGCATTTCGGGTGTGTGCGAATAGATGAACGAATAGTTCTGTGACCAGACGGGACCGGTTCGGCACCGGGACTGTGACGGGACTGATGTGTTTGAATCGACCTTAAGAAGTCAAAATTTGAATCGATTATTTCTTAAAGGTACTAAGTGATGTTTTGAGGAAAACAGAAACATTTTCATTTGTTAACCCCTTGATATTTTAAACTTTTTATTCTTTTTTTCATTAGTATGGTTCGGTTAACGGTGTGTAGTAATCAAATCAATCTAGAATTTTGGATTTTCTTTATTAAACAGATTAAAAAATATATCCTAGGTCCTTTCAGAAATATACATTTTACAAAGCACATTTAATTTTTTAGGTTTTTATATAAGCCTATAATATGGTAATTTTATTATTAAAAACAATCACAAATATATATTTAACCAAAATTAAAGAAATAATATAATATAAAACATAAAAATAAAACATTTTTCTTACAATTTTAGATTTTGGTTTTACAATTTGGTTTTAAATTTCTTGATCTTCCAGAAATTTCTTAGGTCTTGCTTTTCCTCTGGTACCCACTGGTTAAGAGGTTATGGCTTTGCACATGGCGTATTTTTTTTTTCAAAATTTGCATCATGTCTTTAGGAAATGCTGGTATTTTGGGCCATCCGATATTAAATTGGCTGTTGTGTTTTAGTAAAGTGGAAAGTGATTAACACCAAAAACGATATTCATATATTCCTATGCCTGGAGTTTCGGAGCTATATACACAATGGTTAAAGGTTGAAATTGCAAAATGAGTCATAATATCCTGGAACATTTATTTGTTGAAATTCAGTGGACTTCTTTTTATAATATTTAGTCCACCATTGCTTAAAATTAAGAATATCACCACTTTAAATTTCTTATTATGTCAAATTTTTTAAAGTACCTTTTTGTGACACCGAAATCCCTGTCACAGGGCAAGAAAGAGTGCCCTCTAATGGGAAAATAATGTTCAATTTTATGGAAGCGCTTCATATCTGTAAGGGCCAAACATAATCTTATAATAGTGTGATTCTTATTTTGCCCAGGGCAGTCGTCACAAAAAAGTTTAAACTCTTTTATGTTGGGTCTATATCAGTGGCGGCTTTTCTTTATGTGCTGCTGAGCTGCAGAACTACCAAACAACCATAGCAAATCTTAATTATTAAAGAATAATTAATATAGTTTTATTTCAAATCTGCCATATTATCATATTAAACATAAACTGTTAATAATAATTCACCAACAACGATGATTAATATTATTTTTTTTACGTATTTACTCCTCTAGTGAAACCGTATAATTTTTTTACGTATTTGGTGCTCCAGTGAAGCAATCTTTTTACGTATTTGCTGCTCCAGTGAAGCCGCGTCGATAACAACCGAAACACTGGCAGCGGTAAAATGCATTTATTAGGCAAACGGCGATCTTAGCCGATGTGCTTCGGCAATCGGCTGATTAACGGCCTCGGAAATGTGTTTGCGAGCTGCAATTCACGACAGTTATTCGTGACCGTTGCATCTGTGCCGTGTTTAGAAATTCTTAGGTTACAATTTTGTTTAATTTGTTTTGTTCGAGCGTGTTTAAAACAATGGAGTTTCAATTTAAATTAGGTGTAAATAAATTTCAAAAACTTCACTATCAACAACAGTTGATTATAAAAGAACGTGGCCGTCCTATGCCTGATCTTAATATTGAAGTGTCCGGTAAAAGCCGTGGAAAAACATATACGCGTAAATTTAATAAAGACATGTATCTACGAAATCAGTGGATTTGTGGATGTTCCGAAAAAAATGCTTTTTTCTGTTTTCCGTGTGCATTATTCGGCGCAGATAAAGAGGAAAAATTGTGGCGCGAGACAGGAGTGCGGGATCTAGTGCATTTAAGTGAAAAAATAAAGAAGCATGAAAACACGCAAACTCATATGAACAATGAAATGCGATTTGCATTATTTGGGAAACTTAATATACAGGCCCAACTTGACTCTGCTTATTGGATAAATATACAAAAACACAATGAAGAGGTGACGAAAAACAGGTATGTTTTGTCAAAAATAATTGACTGTATAAAATTCTGTGGGGCTTTTGAGCTCGCCTTACGAGGACACGATGAATCTGAAACATCAGATAACCCTGGAATTTTTCGTGGTTTAGTGAATTTTTCTGCTGAACTTGATAAAACACTTAGTGAACACCTTACAAATGCGACAATTTTCAAAGGTACCTCAAAAACAATACAAAATGATATTTTGGATTGCATGCTAGAAGTATACGCTGAGGAGATTTTAAACGAAATCAATGAAGCCCCATTTTTAGCAGTGATAGCTGATGAGACAACGGATGTTTCTATGAAATTTCAAATGGTCATTGTTTTTCGTTATGTAAAAAACGGTGCTCCAGTTGAAAGGTTTTGGACTTTTTTGCTTCCAGAAAAACATGATGCTGAAACCTTAGCTAACACAATTTTGAATGTTTTAGACCCAATATTAAAGAATAACAAAAATAAGCTCATTGCACAAAGTTATGACGGAGCAGCTGTTATGAGTGGGATACATGGCGGAGTGCAAACAATAATTAAGAGAAAATATGAAACTGCTCATTTTGTGCACTGTTACGCCCATCAATTGAATCTAATAATGTCAAGAGCATGTTCTATTAATTCCCAAGTACGCGTATTTTTTGGAGATTTACATGATATACCTGGATTTTTTAGTCATTCACCTCAAAGAATAGCTGTCTTAAATCAAATAGTTGGAAAAAATATTCCTCGTTCAATCCCTACACGCTGGAATTTCAATATTCGTACAGTAAATGTCGTTTACGAATATAGAGACTTTATTATTGAGTGTATGGAGCAACTAGAAGAAGAGTCAAATGCTATTACTTCCAAGGAAGCAAGAGGACTTAGACGTATTCTGGAAGATCAAAATTTTACTTTCTGGCTGACTGTTTTTCATTATATTATGCCACATGTTGACGTTTTGTACAATAATCTTCAAAAAAAGAACATGGACCCAACCGAAGCACAGAAAGCTATACATGTTTTTGAGCAAAGTATTAACAATGTCCGAAATAAAATAGACCCTATCATACATCAAGCTTCAAATTTAAATGCGGCGCCTAGTGTCCAAAAAAGGAAACGCCCAAATAACAGCCAACAGGATCACCGTATTGCCTGTCTAGAAGTTTGTGATGTTATTATAAACAATGCAAAAGAACGGTTTGCATATACAAATCATCTAGTTGCCGCAACACTTTTATCTTCAGAACATTTCGAAAAATATAATAATAAGTTTCCTGAAAATGAATTGGATTTAACTTGTACAGCTTATAACTTCTTTGATAAAAACCGTTTGCGAACAGAACTGTCAGTTTTGTATTCCAATATCGAGTGTAGAACATTAAAAGGTGCAGTGCCTTTACTAAAATTTATAATTTCTAATAATTTAGAGGACACATTAACAGAAACCAAAAAGTTGATACAAATTCTGGTGACTACGCCAATGACCACAGCAGAAGCTGAACGTAGTTTTTCAACTTTAAAACGGATCAAAACATTTTTAAGAAATTCAATGTGCGAAGACAGATTAACAGCCCTTTCCACACTCTCGATAGAAAAAAAGTTCATCGCTTCAATACCGAACTTTAACGATAAAGTAATCGAAAAGTTTGCGACAAAAAAGGACCGGCGTATTAATTTCCAATTTAGAAAAATGCAATAAATGTAAGTTAATCAGATTTTTATAGCATGTCGTTATTAGTTACTATTAATTAGTATTAAAGCTAATTTTATTGTTTTTGTTTTCGTATGTTATTCTATTTCTATTATTTTATATTGACCGTGGTTCATGCAGCACACCCTATAGCAGATGTCACGAGCCGCCACTGGTCTATATGTATGTGTAATATTTTATATAGTCAAGCAAAAAGGTGCATACTTCATTAGGGCTCTTATTAGCATGTCCTTTGTGATAAATATAGAAAAAATAATTTTCTGTTTTATGTATGCAAAATATATTAATCGTTAGTTGGATCTTATAGAAGACTTCTTATACAAGTATATTTGGTAGACAAACATTTTGCATATAGTCAAATGCGAGCCCTACCACGTCGTTTCTATCGTGACATTCTTCAACAGTATCATTTTGGCCCTATTTTTGTGTACCAACAATTCTGCAACAGCCACTTTTTTGAGGCATCTCCCAGAGAGGGACTTTTGATTTTTAAATTCAACTCATACATTTTATTTACGCATGTGTTCACCTTAAGGATAGCCAAATTTCAAAGTTAGGTTTTCGCGAAAAAATGTATAATAATAGCTGTATTAAATTTTCGTTTCAGAATACTTGGATATAAACATTTCGTACATAATTTTTATATGTATTAAGCCTACTATCTAGATATTTATATTATTTCCCCGAATAGTGGCTTTCTTTTAGTGAATAACTTTGAATGTGCTGACGAATTAATGTTTTGATTTTCTGGCATTGACCGTTTAATATTTTTGCCACGTTTATCTCTAGGAGTCAGATTCTTTTTAAACTCATCTTAAAATCATTTTATGCACTTTATTCTTTTTTCAGACACATAATGCAAATTAAAAAACAACTACAACACACTTTTATTTTTAGATCTCCAATGCGAATAAAATGATCAAAAGATACTTCCAGGACAAAAGATATACAGAAAAAGTTGTTAGTTAAAAAGTTTACATATAGTTCACTAGAGTGCGCTACTGCCACTGCGTCCTCTGGTGACTGGTGGTGTATTGTATGTTGCCTACAGTGAGTTGTGTTTTGTGTGTTGTACTTTATTGTTATCAATACGGTTTAAATAATCAAAATTAAGGATCCACACACCTGCGGTTGTAATAAATATTAAATTACTATGTGGAGTTCTAAATGAGCAGAGACCTGATTTATAAATTTTTCGTCTATTCTGGCATATGAATAAGTTCAATGAAACATTGATTTTGTCAAGAGTCGAAGTTCTGAGTTAGTGTATTCACCCAGAAGAATAATTACCGCAAATATTATTTAATGCATTTAATAAATATATGTTGATAATAGGTAAGACCCTTAAATCAGTTTACTAATGTCTTTTTTAATAAATCTTAAATTATTATTCAGAAAACTACATTTTTGTTGGCAAAATATTCATATTATTAGTAATGTTAATTTACTTTAATTATGTGAGAAAGGGGCACGTCTTTATCATAATAATGGATTAACTCGATAATACAGAGGTTTTGTACTGAGTTTAGCATATTTCCTAATTGTTAATATAATTACTTTTTTAACAAGCTAACCTGTTACTTTTTATTTACCTGCTTAGTTTATATAGATATAAACATTGAATTAGTTTGTTCTGTAAGTACATAAATATAAAACTAAAGATCTGCGTGTGGGTAATAAACAAATTATTTTTAAGTAGTAATTGTTTTTAATAATCAATATTAATTTTTTTGTAAATTTTTAAATGGGAATTTTCCTGTAATAGGAGTGCAACTTTTGTTTTCTTGCCACAATTTCTATTTGAATCATTGTGAACATGAGCTTTGTTCAAAAGAAAAAATGACAATATCTATTCTATTTGCTTTAAAGTAATCCCTAATCATTTTTCTTAATCCCTGTAGTACTCTTTGGTAAAGCTTTGAGCACTTCTAGTGATGTAGTCATTATCTCTTTGATTGTGCTAAACCTGCATTAGTTGTTTCTATTTAGGGAACACGAAAAGTTACAAGGGACCAAGTCTGTCAAATATAGTGGTGGAGGCATAATTAAGCTGCTGCTTTCGATTTCACAGCTTAATCCTTATGTGACTGTTCTCTGGGTAAAATTGAGCATCAACTATTCGACTATTCTACATAACAATTTTCTTCAATTATTTCACATTTTCATGTACTGTTGACATTCTGGAGCATCCTCACATACATCTTCTTGACTTCCTGTAAGAAGCTTTTACCACTTACATGCATTTTTTACATTTTATATTTTTTTCAGGACCAAATCAAGCTATTTATATTTAAAAAGTTACTGAAATCAAAATGGATTTAATGCAGTAAAAAGCACACAGAAATGAACAACTACATGCAACGACTGGGATGGACAGCATGGAGGAAAAAAACTACAATACTAGTAGCAGTGGGCTTCCTGTCATTGATTATTTTCGGTTTACAATTTTCGAACTTAGAAGAAAAAAGCCCCAGTCTCAACAATCTCTTACAAGACGATAAAGATGAAGAAATGGTAGCAGCGGCTGTGGCGAAAAGTATCAAAAATGTTAGATTCATTGAAGCCAATAGGAACAGAATACCAGTTACAGAAATCGATGCTGAAATAGTTCAGTCTAATAAGAACGATGTTAGACGAGATGCCAAGTCTGAGAAACAGTTTGAGAAGTTGCAAATGGAACAACAGTTAGGGGTGCCGTTTGTTAATATTGATCCAAAAAATCCATATATACCTAAGAATAGACTAGTACATTTGGATTTGAAGGGGGCACCACCGCTTATAGTGTATTTAAAAAAGTTTTTTCCATTGATAAAGTCCATGGGGGCAACAGGAATATTATTAGGTAAGTCTTCTTCGTTTTGTTCTTTGGGAGATAAATTTATTATTATTTAGTTTATTAATTAATTAATATATCATTAATCAATATTTTAATAATATTAATAATATTTTAATAATATTGATTAATGATATAATTAATCAATATTTATATATAATTAATTAATCAATAATCTATTAATTAATAGTAAGGATAGTCAAGATAGCCGGCGACGAAGAGGCAAGGTCAAAGAATAATGACTTTAATTTTCTGATTAATTAGAAATGTTGTACCAAAAAAGTGCAAAATTATGTGGTGCTAAAAACAATTTTTCAGTAGTAAATATAAATCTTAAATCTTTCTTTAATGATAACAATAAATAAATTTTAATAAAAAAAATGTGAGAAATTAAATTATTACATTGGCACACCACTGTCAGTTACTGTAATTTTCCTAAGGTCACTGAAATAAAAGTTGGAGCACTTGCCACTTCTGTTGCTGTAATATTATTTATCTATTACTCTTTCTTTACTTAAATATTTTTAAAAAAGAGAAATATACGATTTCTACTTGGCGAAATCGAATTCGAATATAAGGCACTGTGCCCCCTAAAACTTGCGAAGCAAACAGCTTGATAAATGAATTGGGAAGGGAGTCTAAAAATTGCACTCCAAATGCCGTTTATCATGGCCTATATTCGTAGTGAATTCGATTTCTGGTACTCCAATAGAAGTAAATAAACAAAACAAAATGACGGTATTAGATTTTGATTTGATACAGAGCAGCAACAAGCCGCATATACGTATTTCGATCTCTTTAGATCTCCTCAGTACGGTATAGTTACTACTCCATATCAAACCGAAATATTTTCCCGTCGTAGATTATAGTTATTAAAAATAACTATTTACGGACGTAACTACGCCATCGAAGAACAAAAAGAGAAATCATACGATTTCTACCTGGAGAAATCGAATTCGAATATAAGCCACTGTGCCCCCTAAAAGCCCCTGTGCTTATATTTGTTTTGTTTTGTAACGTCATTTTGTTTTGTTTATTTACTTCTACATAAACGGCATTTGGAGTGCATTGCCGATTCATTTATCAAGCTGTTTGCTTCGCAAGTTTTAGGGGGCACAGTGGCTTATATTCGAATTCGATTTCGCCAGGTAGAAATCGTATGATTTCTCTTTTTGTTCTTAGATGGCGTAGTTACGTCCGTAAATAGTTATTTTTAATAACTATAATCTACGACGGGAAAATATTTTGGTTTGATATGGAGTAGTAACTATACCGTACTGAGGAGATCTAAAGAGATCGAAATACGTATATGCGGCTTGTTGCTGCTCTGTATCAAATCAAAATCTAATACCGTCATTTTGTTTTGTTTATTTACTTCTATTGGAGTACCAGAAATCGAATTCACTACGAATATAGGCCATGATAAACGGCATTTCGAGTGCAATTTTTAGACTCCCTTGCCGATTCATTTATCAAGTTGTTTGCTTCGCAAGTTTTAGGGGGCACAGTGGCTTATATTCGAATTCGATTTCGCCAGGTAGAAATCGTATGATTTCTCTTTTTGTTCTTAGATGGCGTAGTTACGTCCGCAAATAGTTATTTTTAATAACCATAATCTACGACGGGAAAATATTTTGGTTTGATATAGAGTAGTAACTATACCGTACTGAGGAGATCTAAAGAGATCGAAATACGTATATGCGGCTTGTTGCTGCTCTGTATCAAATCAAAATCTAATACCGTCATTTTGTTAAATATTTTTATTCAATGCTTCTAAATTTTCCTTTTTAAATAGAATTTTTAGCTTTTTGCCTATGTCGTTTTACAAATTCTTAGAACTTTTTTGTTATTATAACAGAATACGAAGACATGTTCCCGTTTTCTGGAACACTAAAAAACATCTCTGCCAAAAATGCTTACTCTGTCGAAAACATTAAAGAAATTTTAAGTCTTGCTGAAAGTTCACAGTTGGAAGTTATTCCTTTGATACAGACCTTCGGCCATGTCGAATTTGCTTTAAAACACGCTGAGTTTGCTTATCTTCGAGAAGTTAATGGAAGTCCTCAAGCTTTGTGTCCGAGCAGAAAGAGTTCGTTGAACTTCATTGCAGAATTAGTCAATCAAGTAAGTACGGTTTTATAACCACAAATAGAATAAGTCAGTCTCCATATTTTTCGAAAATTACCAGTTTTTTGACATTTGTAATAATGTTGGGGAAAAATGCAATATTAAATTTGGAAACAGATGCAGGTTCTTTTCAATGTTAAGTTGTTAAGGGAGAATAACGGCACATCTTTACTTGACGAAGTCAACATTTATTCTGATTTGTAAATCGATCACTCACTCTTGCTTACACAACATTCAATACTCTTGACACTTTAAATTTAGATCTATAAAACAATATAAACAATAGTAGATATTTATATAAAGCACAATTTTGTACATCATACACATGTCTAATCAGATCTCATTTTTTTACTATCGAGGTCATGGCTCTGCACCCTTCAGTCAAATATTTACACATAGGGTGTGACGAAGTGTTCCAAATGGGAGAATGCGATCTCTGCCGACTCGAAATTCACGAAAATCTCTTCCTTAAACATATAAAGAACATCGTGGACATAGTTCGACTTAATTATCCCAAACTGAAAATCATCATTTGGGACGATATGTTGCGGCATATATCGCAGCAGTCCATGTTCGATGCCAAGCTCGGAGACCTCGTTGAACCAATGGTCTGGGTTTACGCAGAAGATATTTATCGGTGAGTACAACTTTGAAAAATATCAAAATAGATGAATTTGCATTGTAAATGTTGTAAACCCTTTTTCTATTTTATTTATAGCACACAAAGGTCTGACCATGAAGTAGTATATACCAAGTTTAACCCTCTTAACAAACAATTCTCGAAAACCCAATGTTTAGGTAGCATTTTTCCACTCAGAACTTTCATAAATTCCAAAATTTGTACTTGACTTCTGGGTGGCACTTTCCCTCTGTGGACGAGGAATATAATTTCAGTGATTTTTTAGATAAGCTTTCAATAAGGAATTTCCTTTAATTACAATTAAGTCAAAACATCACAAACCCTGGACTACCAAAGGTATCCGCATATCAGCCAAGAATATCTGTTCACTACTGCACATCAAGAAATTTACTACCAATGTCTTTGTCACTGAATATATCTCCAAGTACAGAGGAACCTATCTAAAAAATGTTCTATGAGGATCGTCTGGGAAGCTCTAAAAAGTTGCAAAGGAATCATGGTCGATAATAAACAATCTTCGCAATAAAACTAACATAGCTCAAACATTTTCTCTTCCAAACCTTGAAAATCTAAATAAATACTTCGTTAATGTGAGTAAAAATATAACATCTTCCCAATTCAAAAAGGTCTCGAATTCGTTCTTTATAAGACCAGTGAGAAATCTGAACTGATCCAATCAATCAATAGTACTGATGGACTATCCGTAAAAATTTTCTTGAATATGTATAATGTGTTGGATGTCCTGATCTCTTTAATTAACGCTTCCTTTGAAAATGGTATATTTCCAGAGTGCCTAAAGGCAGTCATTATTCCTCTTCACAATGGTGGTGATAAATCTAATGTCTGCAACTATAGACCTATTGCCTTACTATCAGTCCTATCCAAAATTATTGAGAGACCGACTTTTTTGTTGAAAACAACATTTTATCACAAAGTCAGTTCAGTTTTTTATCTAATAAATGTACCAGCGAGGCTATGTTTTCTGTACTACATGAGGTCTATCAAGCACTAAACAATAATCTTTATACTGCCACTGTTTTTTGTGACTATGTCAAAGCTTTTGATTGTGTAAATCACGACATTTAGATAAAAAAACTAAATTTCTACAGAATTCAAGGTATTTCTTTGAATTGGTTCCAATTTTACTTGAGGAATCGGAAACAACTAGTTAGAGCAAATGATACTGACTCTAGTCACAAATGATACTGACTCTAGTCACAAAAGCATTGTATGTGGTGTACTACAAGGTTCAGTACTGGGTCATCTACTTTTCCTTATCTTTATAAATGACATCAGTAACTTAAAAATCGATGGAAAAAGTTTTCTTTCTGCTGATGATACCAGTATTACCTGGAAGAACTCTAATATTGCAACTCTTTCTGCAATTATAACTTAATTATACTTAAAATAAAAAGCCTGGTCCGACTCTAATTTACTTTATTTGAACGTGGATAAGACAGTAGCATTATTCTATAAATTCTATAAAGGAGCTCTTCAACCTTTGCTTCTTAATAACAGCCAGATCAGTATCGTTGATTTTTTTTTTATGAGGGGGTGATCCAAATGTTCGAAACATACCTCGGTCCTAGAAGGCGGACAGAACCGCCTTCCAGCCTCGGTTATGCAGGACTCCTCCAGCGTGACCACGATGATATCCAAGGCCGCTCGCTCGGGTTGTTCGGACACCATCGCCGCCAATGCGAGACCTACCTGCTAAAAAAAGCACCCTCCTCAGCGGTGAATCGGATCGCCCTGATTTGGACGCAACCTCGGCACGGCATTCACGCACAATTCTCACGCATTCTAGCACTTTTTCACTTCTTTCGGAATTCTTCTCTCTCTCTATTCCTCCTTATTCATGTTAAATCTCGCTCATTCGGCCTTATCTTCTTGCTTGGTCCTGGGCACCCTGCCTATCTTCGGGTCGCCTTTCTTCTTGTTCCTTTCTTTCCAATGTTTTCCTCACATATCTCTGAACTGCTCTCCACCGATCTGACGACCTAAGCATCTTGTCCACCAGTTCCGTGACTGATTGCATCCTACCTCCTAGCTCTCTCTCAAGCAGGCTCCTCTCAACTATCCATCTATCGCATACCAATAGAGTGTGTGGGACAGTGTCCGTTATTTCACAATACAGGAATTTTTGTCATTTTCTGCCTTTCCACATCTGTAAAGGTTTGCCCTGAAGTAACCATGTCCTGTGAGCATCTGCGTCAGGAAATAATCCAAACGCCGGTTCCCGCAATCCATAAATTTTCTCAGGTTAGGAATCAACGACTTCGTCCACTGTGCCACCCTGCTCATCTCACCCCATTCCTCTTGCCACACCATTATGGACCTTTCCCTTTCTTCTTTTTTTAAACGTTCTATATGCAATAAGACCTGTTACGAAGGAAATGAATTTAGCATCTTCCAAAATAACATACTTTTCTTTGTTCGAGTCTCTTCTTCGATATGGTCTTCCTTTTTTTGGTTCTAGTACAGCTGCCCAACCTGATGTTATTTTTAAGTTACAAATAGGAGTAATACAGTATCTTTTTGGCCTCAGTAGAATAACACATTGTAAAAGTTACTTCAAAAATCATGGGATTTTAACTCTTTCCTCTCCATATATTCTAGAAACTGTTTGCTTAATTCGTAAACATTTACATGTTTTTCCAGCAAGACCTAATCATGGCTACTCCACCAGAAATTTAAGCTTTGATGTGTACTTACCGATCCCATCCACTGAGAGTTAGTAAAGAAATCTATATTATATTCGGCAAAAAAATGATACAACCATCTCCCTTTGCAACTTAAATTTACAACTTCTTTCCTAAAGTTCCGTAAATTGATAAAAGCCTACCTACCTGAAAGACATTATTCATTGGAAGAGTTTCTTAAGTAAGAAATTACAGTACGTTTAGATAGAAGCAACAAAGTATTTTTATATACAAGGTGGTCCAGAATTATGTACATTAATTTCTAGAGCTTATAGTACGTCCAAAAATAAGGGTACTTCTTTATGTACACTTTTTTATAAAACTGAATAATAAGGGAGATACAACCCTTTAAAGGGGTGAATTGAAATTCTTATTTTTTCAAATATCTCTCAAACGGTTTTGAATACGGAGTTCATATTTTGGGAGTGATTATAAGATATTAGGATAATTAATTTCATGTCACCACCTACCACATCCTATATTAATACAGGGTAGTTTTGGAGGGTAAGTGGGGGTTATTGCGTCACATGTTTTTTAATTTTTACATATTTTAAAAAAATATTTTAAAAATTGTTTCCTTAGATCTTTCTACGCAAAAAAGATGCTCTTGTAATATTTCGATAGATATCATCGTTTTCGATTTATTTAAACTCGAAGGTATACATGTATTTTATTGTACTCGTTACATTTCTTAATATTCATCAAGCATGCTTTGGAATTGACATTTGTGTTAGCAATAATATTACACATCAATGGAAAACTTAATTAATACTTAACATTTAATTAATGGCGAAAATAATATTTCACAACAACTATTCAAAATGTCCTCCATTTTGTTGAATACATAATCTAATTCTTTTATTTAGCGAACGCATTAATCCATTTAATGTTACTGGATCGTTTTGTAAATCGGTAAATACTTGTTCAATTTTGCTTCTTAACTTATTTACTGTATTAATTGGATTGTTATACACTTTTGATTTCAAATAACTCCATACTGTAAAGTCCATTGGATTAAGATCACAACTACGAGCAGGCCAACGAATCGCTGCATCCGCACCCCGGCCTATCCACCTATCAGGGAAATGTTCATGTAACCACCTTCTACAAATTCTTGTGTAATGTGGTGTAGCACTATCATGCATGAAAAACATGTTTCTTCGTATTTGTAATGGAATATCTTCCAAAATATCATGTAAAATATTGTCTAGAAAATTGTAATACATGTTACTATTTAAATTTCCGGGAAAGATGTGGTATCCTATGAAACTATTTCCTAAAGTAGCTGCCCAAACGTTTACCTTGAACGTGTGTTGGAAGTGAGTTTCCATTGTAGCCCTTGGATTTTCTTCAGCCCAGAAGTGCATATTTCTAGAACTAAACATACCTTGTCTTGTAAATGTGGCCTCGTCTGTAAACAGAATGTTGCTTAAAAAATTTGGTGCAGTTTGAACTTTATTTTGCAATATTTCACAAAAATCAACTCGTAAGTGGCATATCGTCAGGTAACAATTCCTGCACCTGTCGATAGTGGTAAGGATGTAATTGCTCCTTATGCAGAACTCTTAAAACACTTTGATGGGAAATATTCGTTCTTAATCCTAACCTGCGTGTACTTATTGTGGGGTCATTTATTACAGCATCCAATATTTGCTGTTCAATGCGAACATTTCTTGCTTCTCTACGACGACCAGCATCTGTATTCCTTCTTTGAAGACAACCGGTTTTTCTCAGTCGTCGTTCAGTACTTACAAAAGTCCTGGCATTGGGAATATTTCTGTTCGTATACTTTTCTCTGTAGCGTCTTACAGCGGCAGCAGCATTTCCCGAACATTTCCATAATACTAAAAGTATGTCTGTCGTCTAAGAATTTAAATAGTGTGCCATATTGCGGGCAAATAAATTTAAAAATATAGCAAAAGAGACATGTTAAACAAATTTCACTGTCGAGTACAATAAAAGTGTAGATAAAATAATTTAATTGTTATTAAACGTCACTGACAGTTCATAGACTACTTGAGATTAAAGTGTTGTTGCTAACACAAGTGTCAACTCCAAAGCATACTTGATGAATATTAAGAAATGTAACGATTACAATAAAATACATGTATACCTTCGAGTTTAAATAAGTCGAAAACGGTGATATCTATCGAAATATTACAAAAGCACCTTTTTTGCGTAGAAAAGAAATAGAAAAAAAATATTTTTAAAAAAAATATTTTTTTAAAATATGTAAAAATTAAAAAACATGTGACGCAATAACCCCCACTTACCCTCCAAAACTACCCTGTATTAATATAGGATGTGGTAGGTGGTGACATGAAATTAATTATCCCAATGTCTTATAATCACTCCCAAAATATGAACTTCGTATTCAAAACCGTTTGGAAGATATTTGAAAAAATAAGAATTTCAATTCACCCTTATTATTCAGTTTTATAATAATAAGGGTTGTATCTCCCTTATTATTCAGTTTTATAAAAAAGCGTACATAAAAAAGTACCCTTATTTTTGGACGTACTCTAGAAATTAATGTACATAATTCTGGACCACCTTGTATATTTGGGTATCACATGCAGCAGCTTAGACTTATTCGTAAGTAAGTTCGTAAGATTTTATGCAATTTGCAATTTAGTGAAATTTTGCAATAAATTACATATTTTATTATGTTTTATTCTGTGATATTGACGATTTATGTAATTGTAGTAAATTTTAATTGTTATTGTTATTATTATTATTTTTTCTTTTTGTAAGCTTTGTACATCAAATTAAGTGACAATATTAATTGCACAATTTTAAGTGACAATAAAGCATATTTCTGACGAATAAAATTGATCATTGAGTTTTTTGTAGTGTAAGTGCCTTAATTTACTTCATTCTTCAGTTTACTTAGTGTATGATATTCTTTCTGTTATCGTAATCTATATTAATTATCAATTTTTTTATCGTTTTATGTTTAGCAATTTGGTTGACATTTTAATTGTATGATACAAATATTATTAAATAGTATGATATAAAAATTTCAGGTTTGTCCAGCCCACGGTTTGGGAAAAGTATGCGGCCGTATTTCCAACGGCTTGGACGGCTTCCGCATTCAAGGGAGCGTTCGGAGAAACCTTGTACGTGCCTAATGCTCGAAGACATCTGGAAAACAGTCTCAGATGGTTGGACACGATGGCTGCGCAATCGCCATCGTTTAAAGAAGGTCTAGCTGGTATCGCCATCACAGGATGGCAAAGATACGATCATTTTGCTGTGTTGTGCGAATTGTTGCCCGCCTCTTTACCTTCGCTGGCTTTGAATTTGTTAGCTGTGACTGCTGGTTACTTCAATTTGTCGCTAAGAGATAAGTTTTTAAAGGCGTTGCATTGTCCGGAACCGAGTATTGACAATTCGCCGTTTATTATGTTGGAGTCTGATCCATTTTTGTGGGAGAAAGTTAGCAGGTAAGTCATTACTTTTTTTTTCAATAACAGTTTTTTAAACTACCATTAAGATTATTGTTTTTATGAAAAAACATTTGTTTTATTGGCTAAAGTAATACATTCGCCATCTGACAAATCATTTAAATTATCAATTTTTCACCCTATTGTTTGTCGCATCTTGATCTCATTTACGACGAAGAAAAATCCTAATCGATTAGTCATGGAGACTATTTATTTTCTTTATTAATCGGATTAACGACTTCTTTCACCAAAATTAACCAATGAATTTTCTATAGATATAAGCAAGCTTATGAGACGTTTAAATATTGACTGATTTGAAATTTTTTTCTGCAGTTTTGTCCATAAAGATGTCTGACAAGAGAAGATATTTACAATATTCCGCAAAAAATCGGGAATTTCTATTTTTTATTAAAATTTCTATTGGATGATGATATATTCTTCGTTTTATTAAATTACTCAACTTCTATTGTGTTTCTAATGGTATTCTTTGGAGTGATGTCACTATATTACATATCACACATATCAGTGACCTAAGACAGAATCAATGCCCGATGTGTCAGATACTATACGATAAAATTGCTGTGTGTAATATTTTTAAAGTCATCTTTTATATTTCTTAGGTGTACCTTCCCTGGAAGTCCAGTATTTCGACTGACAAATCGGTTCCACAACCTCGAACTCGAAGCCAAAGAATTTCTAGATGTTACCACAAAACAAAAAGGTTGGATGACAGCCTACAATATCCGCCACAATTACAGCCTAGCTCTAAGAGTCGAAGAGCTCACGATAGATCTTCCAAGACTATACCATGGGATGATTTCTTTGGCCAGAGCCACCGTGGACTCCATGGACGAGATTTTCGACAACTATACCATAACCGAATGGATTGAGCAAAAGATATATCCGTATATACTCGAATTTGAGAAGATACAGAACGATAGTGTCGTTCTCAAAAGCGTCAATCATTGGCCTTCGCGGCCGTTACCTATCTCTAAAGAAATGCAGAAGTTAGTTCTTAATATCGGCTTGCACTAGCCATCATTTTTTTAATCAACATTAGTTTTAGCGGTTTAGGGGATTCTCCCGGATAATTCAGTATTAAATTCCAAATTAGTGGGCAAATATTAATTTCCACGAACTAATAGATAAGTAGGTGTAGTCAATAGTACAGTGAGAGAAGGATTGGGAATTAGAGACTGAAATTAAGTTGATAGTGAAATTTGTGTGAAAAGTGGAAGAAATCGGCATAAGAGCAGATCATGATCAAAGAGCGTTAACTTTGAAATACTTGACTCAGGTTTAATAGTGAAATAAGAGGGATAGAGAGTAAAAAAGTGAAACTGGAATGGAGAAAGTATTAATAAAATAACATAAATAAGGAAAGAGAATGCATACTGAAATTAGAGTGAAGGGGGGAGGTAATTGTGAAATAAGAAAAAATCATCTATAGCTGAATATGAGGAAGTCAAGTTTAACAAAGATAGAAACCTATAGCAATGGAGATAGGTACAGTCAATTGTGAAATAAACGGGACAGGAGTACAGTTACGAGACAAGAGAATTAGTAATGAAAAAAAAAGAGAATCATTTGTGAAATACTGAAATACTTGAGTTAGAGTCAACAGTGAAATATGGGAGAGAGAAAGAGTCACGAGAACAATAAGAGATAATCGATGGTGAAATAAGAGAGTAACAGTGAAATAGAAGAGAGAATCAATAATAAAATACAAGAAAAATAAAGAGTTAATAGTAAAATAAGAAAAGATGTGTCAGCAGTAACATAAAAGGGACAGAGTTAATGAGTTAATAGTGAAATAAGAGAGGGACACTGAATATTGAGATCAGAGAGAGAGGGAGAGAGAGAGGGGGGAGAGAGAGAGGGAGAGAGAGAGAGAGGGAGGGAGAGAGAGAGAGAGAGGGAGGGAGAGAGAGAGAGAGAGAGTAATAGTGAAATAAGGGAGAGAATTAATAGTCAAATAAGGGCGAGAAACAATAGTAAAATATAAGAGAAATGGAGAGTTAATAATAAAATAAGAAACAGTGTGACAAAACAGAAAGGGAAATAATTAATAATGAAATAATACAGAGAGTGTGTTGACATTGAAATAGAGAGAGTGCCAATAGTGAAATAAGAGACAGTCAATATTGAAATCTGAGAGAGAGAGAGAGAGAGAGAGAGAGAGAGGGGGGAGAGAGAGTCAATAATGACATACATGGGTGAGGAGGTCAATAGTAAAATAAGGCAAAAATAAATGATAGGAGAGAGTAAGTCAGTGATGAAACAAAGGAAAGAGTAAATAGGGAAACAGTTCAATAGTGAAATATGAGGCTAAGATGAACAGAAACAGAGAGACTAAATAGTGAAATTAGAGTGAGATAGTGAGTCATTATTGAACCAAGGTGTATAAAAGATTAAGTAAATAGATTAAGTAAAAGGAGATATAGTAAATGTTATGTAAAAGGAGATATGTCAGTACTAAACTTTATTATGACAATTAAATGACTATTTGAAGGCATCGTAGAACGTTGTGGACAGCTTGGTACAGAAATCATTCCCAGTTTTTGATGTTTGATATACAACTTTAACTTATATTTTACTGCGTTCTTTCCATTGTTTAGAGACTGAAATTATTTACATGCGATGCAACAAAAACTGTTTTGTTGGCCAGCTTTTATGTATTCTTTTAAAAATATATACGAACCGCTAAAACTAATTGTTTATCGTTTCCATTTTGTATTCATTTATGACAACTATATTGCAAATCGGAAGTATAGTACAAATGAAAGCAGGATGGAAATGCATATAAGTTGAAAGTCTAGGAAATTCTGTGATCTAAAAAATCTTGAATAGCTTGAATGTTTTTCGAAATGTGTGTTCTTAGATTTAATGACAGTCGGGTAACATTTTTTGGTTTATTTCACATGATTTTTGTACTAAAATCGTTTTGTACAATTAGTGCAAAATAATGTAAAAGTATTCTCAAAAATTTCACAGGAAATGCGTTACTTATGGTGGGGCAAGAATAATTTTAGAGTTTTTGTAAATGGCATTATGTTCTAAATCGTTTAAGTTGATCGTTTGTAGTGTGATTATTTTAGCCCTTAAAACTTCTCTACTTCTAATCTACTTTTCTTGAAGATCTATTCCAGAACCTATTCGGACCTATTCTTTTCGTGTTAAAATTTTTTTTCTAGGTTTTAGCCATGTGCTGATCTTTATTTATTTATGGATGTTTTTGAAGAGTTTAAAATTTGTCTACAAAATCTTTGGTCTCTCTAAAGCAGATAATAAAGCTTTAAGCTGGTGTAGAGCTGCTCTGAACTCATTCTAGAAGTTTTTAAAGGAAATAAATTGACAGATGACAGTTGACAAGTATTTTTTATTGTCGCATTTATATTTATTTAAAGAATTCCAGAACGTGTTCGGACCTATTCTCTGCGTGTTCAAAAGTTTTCTACATATTTTAGACATGTTGAATCTATTTCTTATTTATTTATGGCTGTTTTAGACGTCGTGTAGTGTTAAAGCTTTTAAGATAGAGAAATTTTCACTTTATAAATCATTTAAACTGATAGTTTATTTGGTATGCAAGGCTATTTAATGTGAATAGATTATTAATGAATGATAAATTTATTAAACTAAATAATTAAAAAAACATTGACAATTGACGTTTTGCTAAAGCACCTTGACAGGTGAACGGTGACGTTTTGCTAAAGATTAACAACCGCTGCAAAACTATGCAACACGTTTAGTCAAGGAAAAATATAAGAATGCTGTGCAAAGTTCACTGTGCAAAGTTAATTTTTGTAGCATCTTTAAAATTATGGAAAAACTAAAACACGATATTGTTGGCAAGATAATGGGCTCAACTCACCATTTTCCATAAGTTAATGTGAAACAAATTCTGTTCAGTTTGAATAAATGTCAGTGTGAATTAAATTCGCTGGTAAGGTCACATCTTGATCGAAAACGCCGGGAATACTAACTGTTACATCATTCGTATGTTAATTTTCATTAGTGAGTATTTCATAGAAAGAATTTGGGAATCCAGACCTGCTCTGCACATATTCTAAGCGTTTCTATGTGTTCTGAGCATCTTAAATCTATTATAGACTTATTTAAGCTATTTTAAACGGCAAGAAGAAGTTATAATAATTTATTCATTGTCTAAGAGGATTTTCTGGTGTTAGACTGATTAAACAAAGAAATTAATAATCAAAACTTTGAGTTTGAATGTTGAGATTGAAAAATAATAAGGTTGAATGAAGCACATTTAATTACACCATTTTTCGGAATGCACGTAAAGCCGTCGGTCCTGGCTACGAAGTTGGTCGTTAAATTATGTTAGGGGTGCGCCAGAAGGTCACACGAACTTTAACTTTATTAGCATCTTGGAAACTACAGAAAATACCAAACTAAAAGGAGGTAAGAAGACACCGGACATTTCTGTATCTTTCAATGGCATTTTGATTAAAAGTGTCAGGAATTTCGTTGTAAATTTATTAGCCATGTGTCAATTTTCATTTTAAATGTCATCTATCAGTTTGTTTGTTTTGAAGAATTCCAGAACAGACAAAGACCTTGTGCACATTAATCATTCAGCCAGTTGCAATAGATTTTCTATCAGACAAATACACAATCCTATCACTAATACAGATTTAACGGATGATTACTAGAATTTCTATGTGTTTAGACGTATTAAATTTATTATACTCATTTATAATGAAACAAGTTGACAAATTTGTTAAACTATTTGTTCGGGGTGTTACTCCGTTGTCTTCTGAGATTAGTTCTCGACGTTTCGCCAACACTAGGGGTTGGCATCTTCTGGCGATGTTACTTCTTCGCTTGTAAGCTGAAACTGATGCCGCGTTGTACTACGGAGGTCATATTTATATTTTCTACTCGTCTCCCCTTCACTGGTTTTAGCGTGAGAGGGTGTGCCGTCGTTTGTAGTGGCTTTTCTTTCTTCGTGTTTTGCGGGAAGGGTGTTTGTGGGTTTTAATACTGGTATCCAGGTTCTGTTAATTTTTAGACGATAGCCGTGAAAGCCTAACGTATTTTATCAAGTTGACAAATATTTGGCTGCCAATTTTCATCTGTCAATATATTTGTAATTTTGATCATTATCACTTTACACATTAACTGAAAAATTGTTTTTAGAAGTTATCGAAAACTTTTAGCTACCACGTTTATAAAAATTATCTTTGTTAAACAAATAGTGTAAAATAAACCAAAAAATTATATTTGCCAAATATAATATTTGAATATCTAAAGAAATCAATTATATAAGCACAAAAATAGGAAATTAGCCCTCTTATGTATTATAGTTATTCATGTATTTAGAGCAAAACGTGCTACATTATTGACCTGCATCAATGAAGTTGAATTTTGCTCGTTATACGCACAATTTTTTTCTGCGATCTTTTAATAAAAAAACTTGTTTTGGCACAGCAACTATTTTTTTTTTCTAAACTAATACAGTAATAGTACCGTAGTTAACTGACAACTTAAACATTTGTAAACAAAATGTGCAGTTTGCAATGGTTTTTAATATTAATTTTCGATTGCTGTGATGATGACTTTCTGTTTTATCGATGGGAAGCAAAAACCATGTTTTTTAAGAGATCGTAGAAAAATAAATATAGGACATCACGATAATTTAATTAAGAATTTTTTACCAGTTTTGGAGATTATGTTCTAGACGTGTTAGTTAAAATATGAAAAAATACTTAGGTTAGTATATTGGCTACGATAACTTTTATTATTTAACAACTTAAAGTTATCTATTACTGATGCAACTAATGACAAGAAATCATCATTTTTGTAGTCTTTTTTCCTGTGTGAAGTTGACTTATTTAATTTTGTAATCTTGAGTCTAACTAATATTAACTATTTTCATGCATATATTTCATCTACGTCTCCCACCAAGTCTTCTTCGGTCTGCCTGTATCTCTTGGAGGAAATAGTCACTTGACAATTGTTGGTATTGGCTGATTCCCATTCTTGTCATGGATAATATGCAAATAACTTAAAAGACTCAAACACAAGACTGCTAGCAAGAGTACGGTCTCTAATCGACTAACTCCTTTGTAAATTTCATTAAAAATCGATCCTACTCATACTTAAATTATTCTCAAGATCATGCGCTGCTCGAAACATAAAAATTCCATTGTACGCCATGATTTATGTGTCAACTGTCATTAGTCAGGTTTCATGTTGAAAAGCTTCTGACAGGTTTGAGGGCGCTTAGATCGCCGCTGGACATATCATATAGTCATAAATGGTCATAAATATCAGACGCTGATAAATGAAATCCTCTTGAATCGGTCTAAGATCTCAGCTGTCGATAAATTTTGGGACTATTTTAATCTATTTGACAGTTTAAACAAAGTTTATGTCTAGCTCAACAAAAGAAGAGAAGCAAATGACAGTTAATATGACAGTGGATAGTTAAGGCAATATTTTACTCTGTAAATCTCAATAAAGAGATCTAAATTTGATTCTGCCTAGTCAAACATTTAAGAATTTTGGTATGACATCATGATTTATGTCTCAATTGAACATTTTCATCTCCTAACTGCCAATTGTCAGTCTGATTCTCTTGCATCATTCTTAAAACTCAGCTCTTGATCACCTTTGGGTATATTTAAATATATTTCAGACTGGTTAAATACTGTATAGGACTTACTCAATAAGAAGTAGAATAACAAATTACCTTTAATGTTACAGTAAGACACGATTGATGACGTTTCGGATTTTAGAAAATTTTCAGTCCCATTTCTTTGTTGATTCTTAACATTTTTATCCAAATAAAGCTATTTTGTATTTGGTGCTTCAATAATTAAGTATAGTCTTTTTATATTAAAATTTTAACAGTAAATTCCAATTTTCATTTTTTGTTTTTGTTTTCCTATCCGTTGCTGTCTTTATGCAGGTTTAAACAGCTTTGAACAGATCTACACTTGTTTTAGACTTATTTAAATATATTTTAAGACTTGTTACACGCAGTTCTGAACCAATTTATTAGATACAGATTGTCAAATGTCAATGTTAACACAAAAGTTAAAAATTAGTCGTTGACCTTAAAAGTAATAAAAATGCCAAGAATAGATTGTAAATGCTCTTATGAAGATATACACGCGATTTGAAAAATTGTGACCTCTTCTACTTGATGTTTCTTGTCTCCATTTTTCTTGCAGTTAAGTTTCACATGGCAATATCTATTTCGATTCCTTTGTCGCTTAGAATTGTTAAACGCAGACCTCTACCTATTCAAAAGAAACAGATCTATAAATGACTATTTATCTGACAGTTGACATATAAGTGATCGTGTTTCAGATCAGCAGTTGACCTTGATAGTAACAAAAATAAGAAGAATAGATATTAGTTATTAGAAAATGTGCATTTTTAGCACGTTTTCTCGTTGTTTCGTCTGTTTCTATTTTTATTCAGTTACGTTTTAATGGAAAATAGGTATTTTGTTTTCCTTGATGGTTTTAGCTTTTTGTTTTTTTTTCTTATTAATGCAGTTTTTAGTCATATTAATGTTTGAACTTTGAAAATAAGGCTATTATCGAGCACAAGTTAATTAAATCTAGCCCAAGTACTTTCGCTTAAAATAGCATCTTCAGGGGCATTTCGTCAAAATAAGAACTATCCGGCAAGCGTAGGATGTGGAAACATTAAAACTAACATAAATTATACAAAACACTACACTAAAACGAGGACAAACAGTTTAAAATTACTTCTACGCTACATTCTCTGTCAGTTTCTGGAGGGATAATGGAGGATAATTATCCCTCCAGAAACTGACAGAGAATGTAGCGTAGAAGTAATTTTAAACTGTTTGTCCTCGTTTTAGTGTAGTGTTTTGTATAATTTATGTTAGTTTTAATGTTTCCACATCCTACGCTTGCCGGATAGTTCTTATTTTGACGAAATGCCCCTGAAGATGCTATTTTAAGCGAAAGTACTTGGGCTAGATTTAATTAACTTGTGCTCGATAATAGCCTTATTTTCAAAGTTTATTTATTCGAGCATTCAACCTCATTTCATTCATATATTAATGTTTATTTTGTTTTATTTTAACAATTTCTTCAATTGCAGTCCTTTCTTTGTATGTTTCCTTCGATGGAAGTGTTCAATAATGTGTAAATTAATGTGCAAAAATAAAAATCAATTTTTTGTATTGAATTGTGCAGTTTTAACTATTTTCCCATTCTTATCTGATCATTTCTTGTACGGTGGACTTGAAGACAGTAAGAATGAAGAAGAAATAAAGTAAGGGCAAAACTGATTTCAATGATTCTCTTCTTGAGTAACAAAAGACCAGAAAAGTTTGTACGGCAAGTACATTTTTGCCGTGTATTTATGTGACTTCTGACATCTCCCACACGTTTTCTGGTTGAAATTGTTTCAGAACGACTTGGGTTTACCGATTGACTCTTTTTTATTGATTGACAATTTGCGATTGTTTTTAACCTAAATTTTTACACGAACTAGTTGTGGATATTCTTTGGAAAATTCTTCGGATTTCCAGCTGCGACTCTTTATTATATTTTCGCTTCTCTCTTTATCCGTTAGGCTCCTCTTTCATTACATTGTTTGGGAAAATTGGTATAACAGCTCTAAAACACATTTTTATAACTTCTAATTTCTCATTTAGCAATTTTATTGTACGGTAATCAACGCTGATTTCTGTAAATTTGCTAAAATCGGTCAATAGTTTATATTTGCCTTGTACGTTAAGAAAATTATATTAATAGATAACTGATAAAAGTATCCGTTTTATACACATTACCTATAGATTCTGATGAATATTGAAATTAGTGTGTCATTTTTTTAAGGTTATGTATAATAAAAACAAAACGATTATCGGTGTACGTCAAAAATTCAATGACGTCATAAATACCTAACTTAACCTAAACGTTTTTGTATAAGTATAATGTAAATTGACAGGATTCTTATCTAAATATAGAGATTTTCTATAATTCTTATCAAAATAATGTAAAAGTCATTATTTTTATCCGCTTAATTAGTATGTAACAAGTTTAACCTCTTGTTTCAAACAATTTCTTTGTTTCTAATGAATAAATAGTAAATTTGAAATAAAGACTGCTTATTCTGAAACAAAATGAATTACAACAGATGACGATTAGCATTTTTCAAGATGGTCAACTTAAACAATGACGTCATAGCTACTACGATCCAAAACATAATAGTTGAGTGTGTGGCAACAAAAGAAATATGATGTACGTCGATATTTGTTTTGTATTTAGTCTATATTAAATTTAAGACCAAAATGATCATGCTGTTAAATGATTTAATTTGATTGCGCATTACTAAGTATTACCCAAAGTTTTCTCAGTATATATTTTTATTATATTTATTGATATTACATTTTACCTCTAAATAACTTGTATTTATGTCTTGTAGGTAATTTTATAATTTTAAATTTACTGGAATATCACTTTTTTATTTCTATTTTATATATTTCTACTGTGATTTTACCACTTTTGATAACAACACTGCCTAAAGCACAAATTGTTTTAGTTTTTGAACTGATTGTTTATATCTTTAAAATTTGAAATCTGTTTAACACAAAAATGTTTGTTTTTCAATGTAAAATGTGTACGTTCCACACTAAAAATGTATTATCTTCTGGTTGGTTTTTTACCAAGGTCCTCGAATAAATTAGCTCACCAAGAAGAAAAACTTCTTAATATTGTAATAACTGATAAGTAACTCACAGCGAAAAACAAATATTTTTAACCCACATACATCACATACACTTCACATAAGTCTATTTTTTATATCTTTTCATATGGATTATCTAAACAATCTTAACAAATTCTATAACTTTATTCTACCTGTTGTAAAAAGATCGTTGTTTAATTTATATATTACACCAAATAGTATTAATGTTCAAAATTATATAAATTTGTCTTTGAAAGTGTTTTATTTACTCTTCGAGTACAAACCTACCAATTAGTTTAGAATAATTTGTATAGAGGTTTGAAAACGAGACAAGATGAAGCGTAGGCATGTAATACAAAATAGACTGACTGCTTGATGCAATACAGTCGCGTTTCCCCCATGGTACAAAGAATAACAGGTATGATATTGCACAGGCCACTATCAGCTGATCCCCTACTGACGCCGTAGTAATGAGAGACCGTCGTTGTAATAAATCTGTTTATAATGGGAATTTTATTAATGTTTTAACTTTTGGCATTTTTGGTAAGCTTGTAGAAGATTTTGTGTGAGAAATAATTATTATTAAGAATACTTTTAATTCTTTATTCGAGTTTTTTGAGTGATAATGGTTTTGTAGGTATACCTACTTTCTATGGACAACATTTTTGTCTTTTAAAAGTTGTCAACGCTAATAGTTGCGACCAATTCCGAATGATCAGCTTATTGAGCCAGGTCCTAAAACTCTTTTTAAAGATAATTCACACAAGAATATACAACAGATGTGAAAGAGACATTAGCCCCACACAGTTCGGTTTCAGACAAGCGTTTGGCACAAGAGAAGCACTTTATAGCTTAACTGTCCTACTTCAGAAATGCAGGGATCAACATAAATATGTCTTCCTATGCTTTATAGATTACCAGAAAGCATTCGATTGTGTTAATCATTCAGAATTAGTAAGATTGCTTCAGGAACGTTCTATAGGTGAGAATGACCTTAAAATCATAAAAAACCTTTATATGAATCTAAATCATACTTCTCAATCGAAAAAGGTGTACGACAGGGTTGTATTCTGTCACCCCTCCTTTTTAATCTTTACTCTGAAACGATTTTCGATAGAGCCTTAAGTGACACTGAAGATGGAATCAAAATCGATGGACAGACTATTAGTAATCTTCGCTATGCTGATGATACAGTCATAATAGCTGATAGCCAAGAAGCGCTACAGCGACTAATAGATAAAATAAACAATGAAGGAGAAGGACTGGGTTTAAAGATTAATATAGACAAGACGAAGGTAATGGTGGTTAGTAGAACATGAAATATGCTATTAAATATAAGAGTAAACAATAAGAACATCCAAAAAGTCCCCAAGTTTAGATATCTCGGTAGTTGGATAACTGAAGATCTAGATCCAAACATAGAGATACGTAGCAGGATTGAGCAAGCCAGAACAGCATTTACTAATATGAGAACCTTTCTAAGCAACAGCAGCCTTAACTTAACGCTTCGATATCGCTTTGTAAAATGTTACATTTACTCATCATATACCGTATAACACCATACTGTTAAATGGTGTAGGAACCTGGACCATAAAGGCCAATGTGATGAACCGATTGGAGGCCTTTGAAATGTGGGTATTTAGAAGACTACTTAAAATTCCCTGGACAGATCACACAACAAATGTCGAAGTATTAAATCGAATTGGCAGAGAACGAGAATTGCTGCCAATAATAAAAAGAAGAAAAACTGCTTATCTGGGTCATATATTTCGAAATTCCAAGTACCAGTTCTTAAAGCTTATTATGGAATGGAAGATAGAAGGAAAACGGGCCATCGGGAGAAATAAATACTCATGACTTAAAAACAATGGATTGAACAAACCTCGATGCCCATGCACTCTTTAGAACCACACAAGATCGAGAGGAGTATGCCAGAATTGTCGCCAACATCCACTAATTTTATAGGGCACTATAAGAAGAAGAAGAAGTTATCAATAAGGTATGTTTAATTATTATTGAGTCAGCACTTAATACTCAACCATACTTATACCCCTGTTGTATTTTTTAGGAGGGTTTTGATAGGAATAGTTTATAAAGTAAACATAAAATACTTTGTGCAGTAGCTAGTTGTTTAAGTGATAATTAGGTAATAGGTACCGATAAATCTGTTTGGATTTATAGTTTTCCCAAGAACTCGGTAGTGGAAAAACTGTTGGTTATTGCTTGTTGCCGTAAAGACAAATTTAATACTAAAACCTCAAGGATATGTTCCAAACACTTTAAGCCGGAAGACTTTAAAAGAAATTTGCAGCATGAACTGCTGCAATATGAAGCAAAGAAGGCACCCAAACTGGAGGATGACGCAGTTCCTTCTCTTCATCTACCACAATCAAAAGGCTTATCCATAAATCAACTTAAAAGGCACAAAAGGTTTTCCAAAAGGGAGTCAAAGGGGATTGTGGAACATATAATTACATAATCTACGTCAACATTTTTTATCGGTAGAAAAATATTTTTAAGTATGATGACATAAAAGTAATATCTTAACACTTATTTTTTAGTTCTACAGCTGGAGAACCAGGTGTGTCAAGAACTCAAAACTGATTTACCTGAAACTATAAAATCAGTCCGGTATGTAAAATATTCTATAATATGCTGTGATCAGTCGTCTCAACTTTATGCAATATGTATAGTATATTTTTAGAATAAATACAGATATGGAACCTGCACAAGATCTTGGAACTTCAAAAGTAACGTGTCGAGAACAAAGCCTTACTTCAGCAGGTTAATGAAATAGTAGAAATGAAGTCAGGAGTAGCTAAGATATGTACCAAAAGACTGCAAAGGTCCAAAGTTCGAACAGTATGGACTAATGAGGAAGTCTCCCAAGGCATTGCCATACATTCAGCTGGGCCAAAAGTATATAAATTATTGCTGAAAAAAGGTTATCCATATCCTGCTGTTTCAACCCTTCGCTCATGGACCAAAAAAGTCAAAATTGTTTCAGGCATAATAAGTGATGTCAAAATTATTTGAAAAACTATTGAGAAGATTAAAACCAATAACACAAAGAAAAAATCTTATACCAAATCATCAATTTGGTTTCAGAAATCAACATTCCACTATAGATCAAGTTCACAGAATAACAATTATAACAGAAAAAAAATAGAAGAAAATAAAGTCTGCTCTACAATCTTCTTGGATGTAGCACAGGCGTTTGATAAAGTGTGGCATGACGGTTTAAACTATAAACTAAGAACGTTTATGCCTAAACAGTATTCAGAAATCTTAAAATTATACATTGCGAATAGATATTTCAGAGTAAAACAAGAAGTGTGCACCGATTTAAGGGAGATCAAAGCTGGCGTGCCACAAGGAAGTGTCTTAGGTCCGGTCCTGTACCTATTGTATACTTGTCACATTCAAGAGCTAGAACAAAATACTATTGCCACCTTCGCGGATGATACAGCCATACTAGCGATAGGAGACACTAGTGAAGAGGCGACTGATAAGTTGCAACTATCAGTAAATAAAATACATAACTGGACCAGAAAATGGCGAATAAAATTAAATGAAACTAAATCTGCACATATTAAGTTTACAAATAAAAAAATAGAAAATTTCCCAGTTAGAATAAATGATACCCGAATTCCTTATGCAACATCAGCAAAATAATTGAGCATCACCCTAGACGCGAAGCTGCGCTGGAAAGTCCATGTCAAAAAGAAAAGAGGTGAGCTTGATATTAGATATAACAAATTGTATTGGCTGATTGAAAAAATTCAACATTATCAATTCATAATAAATTATCCATCTACAAGCAAGTACTGACGCCAGTATGGCTTCATGGGTGCCAACTCTAGGGCTGTATCAAAGCTAGCTACATATTATCCAGAGATTTCAAAACAAAGTACTCAGAAATATTGTTGATGCTCCTTGGTATATCCGTAACAGCAACCTCCACCAGGACCTGGGTATGGAAACTGTGATCGAAATAATCAAGAGAACCGCAGCAAGTCACGAGCAGAGGCTGCATAGTCATGTGATTGTCGAGGCAATCCAGCTTCTTGACAACACTGAACTAAAGAGAAGACTCATAAGGACAAAACCATTTGAACTAGTGTAAATGTGTAACAGTATAGTGTACAAAACAGAGTATAGTGCTGTGAAGTTATTGCATGTTAGTTGTAGTGCATTAGTTAATAGATAAAATAAGAGTAAGCCATAGGGTAAGCCCTTAAATTTAAGTATTTGCTGTTATTATGTTAGGTCAGAAAATAACTGATAATTGGTCATTTGTGACCAGATATAAGTATACAAACACCTCACAGGTGTTAATAAAAAAAAGTATATAAATTGTTGCTGAAAAAAGGTTATCATGCTGTTTCAACCCTTCGGTGATGGACCAAAAAAGTCAAAATTGTTTCAGACATAATAAAAATTCTCACATCCAAATCTAAAAAAATATGTGTTGTTTCCTTCGATGAAGTGAAGATTCATCTTCACCAGCAAATGACCAGCTTTTAAAATCTGCCAACTATGTTCAGGTAACAATGACAGAAAAATGGAAAAATTAATTCTGTTTGACATAATTAAGGAAGTAGAAGAAAGAGGATTTCATCTTTGTGCTGTTGTTAGTGATTTGGGAGGTGGTAACAGACGCCTTCATAAAAATCTTAAAATAAATGAAGAAAAACCGTAGTTCATATGCCTTATAAATCATAAAATCCATGTTTTATGTGATATATCACACCTTATAAACCTTATAAGAGAGAATTTTCTTGATAATGGCTTTGTCTTTCGTGGAGCGGAAATTAAGAAGAACATTATTTTTAAATTACTAAAGCTTACTTCTACATCGTATTTAACAATCTCATTTAATGTAAATGAAGAAATGCTAAATGAACGTAAAGGGCAAAGGCAAAAAGTAAAGTTAGCAACAAAGTTATTTTCAAATAAAACAGCTCAAGCTATTAGTAGGTGTGGAACACTAGGTTACTTTCAGGATGAAAGTTGGATAGAAACTGCTCAGTTTTTTAAATTGGTAAGCTTCATGTAAAAGTTGATTACGTTTCAGTTCATAGATTTTGTTGTTTTTTAGGTAAATTATTGGTTCGATTGCCTTAACGTTGGGGTACTAGTGATGAGAAGGTCATGAATGAATAGTTCACAAAGATCTGCTCTTTTCGAAGACCCGTGATTGATACAATCACATTATGTGGCCCTACCGTTCGAATGACCCTATGAATCATGCCTATGAATGACGCTGTCTAGTGTTTACGAAACGAACTGTCTGATCGCGATACGTTGCTCGGTCAAATTAATGCATGAACCACGAACCACAAAGGATCGTTTAAACGCTGATTTCAGTTTCTCAGAACGGCGAAACTCTTACGCTGCAAAACTTTAAAATAATATACATTATACATTCGAATTGTCGGTCAGATAGCCAAGCGGGCTGGGCGGCCGGTTTCTCATTCGCTTCACTGCGAGTGATGTGAGTTCGATCCCTAGCTTGGTGTACAGAAAACACAAAGGCTAACGCAGCACTCTAAAATTCTAAATGAATCTGCGGCTTAGACTAGAATATTCTGATGATCTAAATTTTAGAAATGTCGAGTTAGGATGTTAAAAAACTTAGCTAGTAACAACATAGTGATGTTTTTTGTTACTATGTGCAAAAAAGTTTTTTTTAACGTTGGAAATGTATGGTAGCTTTGAACTTAAAACGCAAAGGTTTACCCAAGGTTAATCGAAAAACCCAATGTAACTACATTTAAAAGGAAGTAATTCTTTGAATTGTCGGCAATAACTAAATTTTTGATTGTTATAAAGTTTGAATGTGAGGTTCTGTTTTCTCAGAACGCAAGCGCTGACAATTACAAGTAGTGCTTTTGAATATTTATGTCGTTAAGGTTCATTGGTAAAACCGATGAAGTTAGATCCCAGTTTGGGGAGATATTGTTTTAGAATTTTCTTAATTGAAATTCTTTTTTAATTAGTATATTGTTCATGTATTATTATAATAATATCTTATTGAGATGTATCTAAGAAAAGCAAGGGAATGTTATCTTTTTTAGTTAATGAAAATTATTATTAAAATAGGTTAGTTGTTAATAGATATATAAGTCTAGTCCAGTCAAGTTAGTTATCTGTGATGTTGTATTGTTCTTGGTATCTGATTTAAGTAAGAAGTGGTATATATCGCTTAGATTCTTAATGTCACTCTTAACATTGATGGAAAAATCGTTAAGGAAAATATAAGACATTTCAATGAACTCTCTTTTAGATTTATTGTTCTCACGGTGGAGAATTGCAGTGTTCGTATAGTCCATGAGATGACCAGTGGAATGGACATGTTTGGCTAATGCACAGCGGTCAGGGTAAAGTCGAGAATATTACTATGTATTATATGTCTATGAGATGAAGGTGGACAAAATTACCTATCCTAAGGTTTCCAATTTCTTGACATATTCTTATTTGTCATTAATAACATAGGCGTGGCCAGAGCGAATACCGTGGAAATAACACA